ATATAATTTTAAAAATGCCTATTAGGGTGGTAATATTATAATGAGATCCCTTTGCCACGTCACCAAGGGGGCGAAATCTGACGCGCTCGTTTTCTCAGACGCTTGCAAAAAAAGGCTTACCAAAACAAAGTTACTGGGTTAATCTTCTTCACGTTTCCTTGGTTGGTAGATGCCCCGGGGACCTGATTATAGGATTTAAAACCTGGAAAATTCCGATTTTCATGAAATGTCACCTTTAATTTCACAGTTTGTTTAGCACTATAAAACTATATATATATATATTTAAAAAAAAAAGATTTGGGAGTTCATTTTAAGTCCATCTCCTATCCTGAAAAGTCTGTCTTGCAGAGATGGACTAAAATTAACTTCAAACAGTTCAAACAGTGGTACAAGAGGATGTGGTGCTGGTCCTTCAAGAGTCACTCTCAACTTATCAGCCTATAAAAAAAACTGTCTTCATGTATTTCACAACACTTCAGCTTGTGGTTCTTATTATTTGTGGGTATTTTTTTTTTACCTGACACGCTTCTATAGACTCCAGGTAGGTTGCAGTTCTGTAAAATGGTGGCCCTGGAGACTAAATGGTTCCTGATGGTTTCACACCTAATTTATCACCTTAATTGTCTTTGCAGTTAACGTGTCTTTTCTTCTCCACCTGTTTTTTTCTGACCGTGCTGACCCAATGAGCATTTTGCTGTCCAATGGTCATGCCTTAACTTTGCAAATTCTAATATTGCGTTAGTATTGTATCCTTCTCATGGGCATTTAATGACAAGAGCGGCAAACACAGGTTTACGCAGAAACCAAATGATAAACTTTATTTTAAATGAAGTGCCAGACCGTGTCAGTACAAACTTGGTCCTTTGTTCACTTCATTTTACAGCGGATTAGTTTACAAATAAGGCATAATTCGACACAGGATTTTCAGAAAGACTGAAATTATGCTGTGTCTAGTATATGGGAATCCTATGTCCGGTGTGAGTAACTGTTTTCGTTATGTGATCACTATCGCTTTGTCAGTTATTACAGATCGTTTGATATGTACTGAGTATTTATGCGTTTTTAACCTAAAACACAGTCCATCTGTGAAGGATGTAGGCTGTCAAACATACACATATGTTAGCCAATCATAGCATTCGGCACACCTGTTGAAGCAGAGCGTTCTGATGATTTAGTAACAGGCTAATCATGCTATAAACATGCTAATCATGTTAGAAACATTCTAGTAACATGCTAATAATGCTAGAATCATGCTATTAACTTGCTAACCATGCTAGTAACTTGCTAATCATGCTAATAATGCTAGAATCATGATAGTAACTTGTTAACCATGCTAGCAACATGCTAGTAACATGCTAATCTTGCTAGAAACATGCTAGCAACAGGCTGGACATCAGCATACTGTAGTGCATTAAGAAAAAAATACATACAAAGACATTTCAGCTTACAAGGTTAAGCAGCCAAAACATTTCCAAACTCAAAAATGTATAGCTGTGTAAGTTCATTTTAATCTATCTATCTATCTTATATTGCCTTCAAAACATTAAAACTTTAAAGCTATTACAATGTTTTCAACCCTTTTGGCCTGGCTTTTTCAAGCCAACTTTAAAGTTTGACATCCAACTTTACTCATCTAGTTACCTCTAAAATGTTTTTTTTAATTTTTTTATGTAAAAATCTTGATAATATTATAAGTGGACCTCAGAGAACAATCCAAATTAAAAACCAAATCAGTTCATGACCCCTTTAAATCTAGTTTAGGCCTGTGGTGTAGCAAGTTTAAAAACTAAACCATCACAGATCCATGTAGTGGATCCATAAGAGGTGTTTGTGTCAATAATAATGCCATTTTTATTGTGTGTAATGTGAGGACAAACTGTTGAAAAGACAAGTGAGAAACAAACCAAAACCTTTTCAACAGTGCATAAAAATTCCTTTATTAAAGTTCACAGTTTGTTCTTAAAGCAGTTTGTGCTGACAACCAATTATGTGGAATCAGAATGTAATAAGTTCTTTTGTCATGATAAATCAAAATTGGAAATAACAACTAACAAAACTCTGTCTGGCACCTAAAATAAAACACACATCTGTAAACGACTAGGGATCTGTCAGAATGAGGTAGAATATCTAATTTCACAGATGGTTTTCCATGTAGAAGAGACTAAATATTAAGGACATATTTCAGAAAGTTGAGCATCTGCCATCACAGAGAGCCTCTTTTTGTTGGAAAGTTCCAAAATGTGTTTGTGTACCCTCATCTCAATATCGTCAGTACCACAGTGATATAATCTCTATTAAAACTACTAAATACTGCATAATATACAGGTGTATTATTTCACTAGGGCTGCCATAATACAACAGATACAGCAAGGCACTCTATTTAATGAAAGTGTACACAGCATGTGGTCAAACCCACACTGCGAAATCTTATCTAAATTATGCTATTATTTTTTATTATTATTATGTTGTGCAGAATAGCCCTGCAGGTGCACTGCTGCATTATGGGTATGTGCTGTTCTCCTGTCTCTCTTATACAATTAAGTTGATGCCTTTACAAAAGTAAGCTTAATAGTAGCCTAATTCCACACTAAAATGAAATCGAAACATTTGTTAGAAAAGTTCTCTTATACAAGACATTTCGGATGTTCCTAAAGCATTTTCCTCATTCCCTAAATCAAGGCTTGATTTTGAGGCTGGGCCTCAAAACTGACAATATACCTAAAAGAGAAGAAACAAGGCCACAGAAGCCCACCACCCCTGCATTTGTTTGGTAAATGCCCAGTTTGTCAAGTGGAATGAAAAGATCGCAAACATTTTTAACTGTATCGAGAGCCACAGATGGTTCATTTCTGAGGCTCTCGAGGAGAAGGAAGAGGAACGCATCAAGCTGAGGCACTATGACGCAAGCCACATCCGGGCTTTCATTGAGGTGCTGGTCGACTTTTTGCTGGAAGTGTCGGTCCCGAGACTTCTGCACCATAAGCTGGATGATCACATAGACGTCTCTGGTTAGATTCATAACCAATGACAGGAAATAGAAGCGAGTGGAGTTCAAGCTCCAGCACTCCTTGTCGATGTCTTGTATTAGCCCAATACTTCTGGCCCAGAGTAAGTTGTCACAGATGAAATACAAGGCACGGTTGAGGTTGGCAAAAGTAAGGCAAAAGCACAGCACGGGGTCAAAAATATGAAGAGTGCTCTTGGCCGCATGGATCGAGTTTACTGTGTTCCCAAGCCTGAATACTGACAAAAAAAGAAAAACAAATACATTCCTGATGATATTCTTTTTATTTCTGCGAAAAATAGAGGTCATAAAATGAATTAGTGTCTATTTTTGTTACTACTAAAGTTTTACACAAGTCGGGAGTGTAAAAAGTGCTGAGAAATTGCTTAATTTAAAGTACAGTCACTATATTAAACATTGGCGTGGCATGTATGTAGTAGAGGGAAAAAACATTATTATTTCCTTGTAAATGTATAAGTACATTCGATTTTAACAGAACGCACATAAAATACATATTCCCCAAAATTGTACTTAAGTAAACAAGTGCACTAATACTAAAATACTTTTCACCTCTACAAGTATTCAATTTGTGATCTTTTCAATTTCACTTGTATTTATTCCATTAGTGACTAGCATCTATTTAATCAGTCATTAGTACTTAATCATCATCACATACTAGCCACTATCCCAACTGTAGTTGGTAGCCTACATATTCTATTTGTCCAGCAACTATTCTAATCTTTAATAGTATTTATTTCATTTCTCCAGGTGCAAATTGAATAGACACTAATAATTATTTGGTATACTCCAGTGCGTGTTGTAATAATTTTTTTTATCTTATTAGTAAGACTGACATTCTGACAACTTAAGCTTACCAGTCTAGTCAAGTCAGTTTTATTTGTATAGCACTTTTCACAATACACAGTATTTCAAAGCAGCTTTACAGAAAATCATGATTTTAATGTTTGTAATATCTTATACCTTCATGTCTTATAGTCATATTTAGCAGATTAGAGCTGGACAATAATATAGCTCACATTCTGCACTGATATAAAAAAAATCAAGTTAGGCTACATATTGCTTTACGTGTGTATACTGTATGTATGTGGGTAAAGGTGGATATACTTATATGTTCAACTTTTTATATAGAGGTGTGCAATAATATAGTTTATATTTTGCGACAAAACCCCATTTGATGTTAAACAATTGATAGAAGAAGAAGAAAAAAAACTCTGGGAGAAGCAATACAACACCAGGGGCAGGGGGCAGTTGTTCTTTGACTATACTGCCCAAATATAATATCAATAACTAAATGTGTCTACATTTATTGAACTGTATAACTACTAGAAAGATAAGAAATGTTACAATCTGAGATAAACTCAGTCATTCTTGAGACATGGGACAAAACAGGTCCAGCAAGGGTAACTGCTATTATGTTTAAAAATAAAAATATTTTCAATTTTAAATGTCATAAGGGATTAATAATAGAATGTATTTAACACAATTATCACCTTCAATTTAATTTTCTCATTATTACACCAAATCTTTGTTTCTTAATGTCCTCTCACTACATCTAAAACAGTGTGTCCACAGGGTTCAATCATTTATATGCAATAAAACGGATAAAAATGTTTTTTTTTAATGATGAAAAAGAGCTTGTTTTATCAAAAGCAACACTTAATAATATCTCCTATCAAAGCAAGGTTGTTTTTTACTGACACATGCATGTTTAATACAATTTTAAAGTTGCATCCCCACTTTTTGTCAACACCGTCAGACATTCAATAAAATGTAATAAAATCAGGGAATATCAGGGGCAGCTGTCACTCTAAAGGACCCCCTTGCCACAGTTCACCTCTGCAGAGTACATCAGTGTC